TATATATATATATATATATATATTATATATATATATAATATGATTACGTAAATTTTATATTTTTCTGTGGTTCCAAAATCCATCAATATATGACTGTACTATTCAGAAACAAAGGTTTCCTAAGAATATATAATTCAAAGTACAATTTCTCCAAACTTTCTCTTTTTTCAAGGTGCGAATATTTTAATCCTAATCCGATTCATCTTCCAGTTTTGTTTGCCGGTCATCACTCTATACATCAGAAGCGCGCTCGCGCGACGACAATTATTACGGACAATGATTGTCCTAGCGGTCTTTAACTTCGCTTACGGTACGGGACATCAATTTTGTCGTCTGCGACCGTGACGTATGTACACGCGTACATAGTGCGTAGCATCACGCTCAGAATACAGAGGCGTATCGTAACATTCAAGGGCTCTTAACATCTAAAATTCCACCAAGCGGTGGTTGTTTCGCTAAAGAGATTTCTAATCTTGGCCACGCATACGCATCACATCATTTTTGCAGAAATACCATAATTATTCTTAGATATGTGGAAACGCGACACTCTACTTTTATATTTCCTTTTTTCTTAATATGAGTCAACAAAAATCATATTTAATTCGCAAAATTACCCTATATAATAAGAACGATTTCGAAACTCGTGACATTGAAGGAGATCAAGAAAGCCTGAATATTCTTGTGTATATCAATTTAGAAATAAGAAATTAGAAAACTCAATTTAGAAAATAATTTTGAATACAGACTTTAATTATCAATTAGTAAAACACAGAGTGTTAGTCAGAACACGATCTCGAAGAGTTAGCTTCACTTTTTCTAATGTTTGACTTTCTTTATTTTTACAAATCCGTATTTGTCCGTTCGCGTGCGAATGTATTCCAGAAAATGCGGAACTGGTACTCACAGTCGTAGACTACGGTCCAAATGCGCGATGGTCAGGCCGTCGGAGGGCGGTGGGCTTTTGATAGTTGGTTGGCTTCTGGCACTCCGTTCCATCGGCGCCGGTGCCCAGCTAGATCCGGATTACGGATGTCCGCTTCAAGAGAGAATACTGCCATGCAGATGCTCCACGCGAGATATGGAGATTCAAATATGGCAAGTTTGATCAGATATGTAATCCCAAGTGATGAGGAATTCATGGACAATGTTGAACGCCATAAATTCACACAGGTGTAGTCACAGCGAGCTACCAAAGGTACTGGGAGGTCTGCAAGCGGTGAATCGCTATATGGACCGACCGGTAGACGAGCTGATTCTGGAGAACAACAATCTGCCCAGTCTACCCGGCAAAGTGTTCGCGACTTTGCGAGTCCTGCGCTTGATGCTGCGGAACAATCGTCTCGAGAGAGTGTCGTCCAACTGGTTGGAAGGTCTACATGACTCCTTGCTGGAACTCTTCATTGTTGAGCCTGAACTACGATCGTTACCCGTAGACAGTCTGGAGAATCTGCAAGGTCTCGAGGCGGTGACGCTGCAGAGTCGCGTAATGAAGCGATTGCCAAGATTTTCCAGCCTTCCAAAACTGAGATATCTTCAGGTCAATTCTCCGGCCTTGCTAGAACTCGTCCCGAGAAATTTCCGGGACGTTCCCAGTTTGGAGCAGTTGCACGTATTGGGTAGTCCGAGACTGACCAGACTGGAGGCCGGGCTTCTTCGAGATCTGCCTCGGCTAGAATTGGTCAACATCACCGATTCCGGAATTCATTGGATTCATCCGCGAGCTATGATCAATCTGTCGCAGCTCAAGGAGATTTCACTGGTCGGAAACGCCATAATCGACGCTGGTATGGTCGGCCGCGCGTGTATGGATCTCCCATCACTTTCGGTGATACGTCTGGATCGAAATCGCATCAATCGCCTGAGCGAAGGCTCCTTCGTTGACCTTCCCGTTTTATCGCACCTCTATCTGTCACGCAATCATATCACCGAGATATTTGCCGCAGCTTTCCAACGGCTACCAATGCTCAAGTCTATAGACTTGAATCACAATCTGATTCACCGCATTCATCCGGAATTCTTTCCGCACCGAACTGGAAACGCGTTGGAAGAGATGTGGCTCATTAACAATGACCTTAGTCATGTAGCTGAGATACGGTCGGTGCTTGAAGCTTTACCAAGGCTAAAGTTCCTAGACGCCAGTCATAATCAGCTAGAGGAAATACCCTTCGGTGCTCTAAGGGGCCATCCCACTTTGGAGAGACTCCATTTGAATCATAACAGGCTCGCATTTTTGCAAACAGAAACATTTACGGCGATGCCAGCACTCAGAGAGCTCAGGCTGAAGAACAATTCGCTATCGAACTTATTAAAAGCTCCCTTCTGGAATTTACCAGCGTTAAAAGTAAAAAATTTATTAAATTCCTTATGCATTAATCATAAATTTATGCAATGCACACTCTTAAATAATTTATTAATTTTTAATTTAGCTTCTTTCTAAAATCAACTACATATCATCACATAGTTTACTTTTACGTAACGCCGATTACAATTATTCCAGGGTCTGGATCTTTCGGAAAATTACTTTCGTCGTATAGAACCACGCTTGTTCATTAATCTGCCAAATCTTAGACGGCTGGATCTTAGTGGTAACGCTGTAGGAGTCATCGAACCTGAGTCCTTTTTGAGTACACCGGCGCTGGAACACATTAATGTCTCCGGAAACGCCTTGTCCATTATTCATTCCTTGACTTTTCGGCATTTGACAAATCTGTACGAGTTGGACGTCAGTTTGAATCGTATGCTGGAAGTGGTTCCCGGTCTACCAAAAGACATCGAACATCTTTACATGTCCAAGAATCGTATCGTCGCCCTACCAGTCGTGTCCTCTCAAGATCTAGCTCTGCCTGCCCTACGATCGTTGGATTTAAGCTCGAATGGAATTGAGAGAATCCTGCCTGGCACCCTGGCTGACTTGCCGAATTTGACAAAATTGAATCTAGGCTACAACGCGCTGAGACTTTTAGACGATGGCGTTTTTGACGGACTCACGCGACTGGAACAGTTAGACTTGAAATGCAATCGGCTGGTCACGTTGCACGGACGAAGCTTCCGACCTCTAAAGTCATTGATGGACGTGAATCTTCGGGGCAATCGAGTGGAGGTTCTACGACCGGATATTTTTCAAGAGAACACGAGATTGCAAAGGGTTGACTTGAGCAGAAATAATCTCGCACAAATTCCTCACGCGACATTCGTCAATACTAGGTAAGAAAGCTAATTACTTTTATAATAATTTTATATAATATAATCTTTACAGCATATTTTAGAGCATATAATAAAATATATGTGCACATAGAGTTTTTCTTCAATATGTAATATTGATATTGAGCGATATTTTGTTCTTGTTTTGACGCGTATATATTGCACAGAAAGTATTTAAATTTACCATTTTTATTTTAATTATCAAAATTTAATATTAATATATTATGCTTATAAAAAGAATAATTTTTCTTTTCTTTATGTTACCTCGCGGTCTCAAGTTGTGGTGGAAAGGTAGTTTCACTCGTGGTTGCTTGGTTGCATCACTCTTAACTTAGTACCTAGAAAGTTCTTCGTGCACACGCTAATATCTCTTTCTCGTCGTTGTATAGCATCGGCCTGGCGTGTCGACTAATTTGACAATAATTTGGCACAATTTATATACAATTTTATTCCATCAAATTTAACTTGATTATATCGATAAATTCAAAAAAAGTAATATCTTAATTTAAATCTAAATCTAAAATGTCAATAAAACTAATAGCAATTAATTCATAATTCTCTCTCTCTCTCTC